GAGGTTGAGTCATATAAACATCTTCATGAAGATCCCCACGCAAAAAGGTATTTTTGGCATCAAGTTGATGTAAAGACCAGTGGAATTGAGTAGCAAGGGCAAGAACAAGCTTAACTGTAGCATGTTTAACCAATGGACTGAAGGTTTCATGATAATCAACCCCATGCTCTTGGTGAAATCCTTTGGCCGCCAATTTGGCNCAAGGGCAAGAACAAGCTTAACTGTAGCATGTTTAACCAATGGACTGAAGGTTTCATGATAATCAACCCCATGCTCTTGGTGAAATCCTTTGGCCGCCAATTTGGCTTTATATCTAGAAACTGTGCCATCAGAATTGTGTTTGATTCTGAAAACCCATTTACAACCAATAGGATAGTGATTAGAAGGAGGAACCAGTGTCCAAGTTCCCTGACATTGCAAAGTAAAAAACTCTTCAAATATAGCCTGTCTCCACTCAGGAAATTTAGATGCAGAAGTAAAAGAGGTAGGTTCAGCAACTGAAGTAGCTGAAATGTAGGCTTTAGGCTTGAAAATACCAGATTTAGCTCTAGTTTGCATAGGGTGAGTAGAAAGAGATGGGGGCAGAACTGATGAAGTAGGATTTGGGGAAGAATTAGACATATCAAAATTGTCAAAAGATATAGGGAAAGTAGAGGATGCAGGTTTTGGAGAAGAAGACAAAGATGTAGTAGTAGGTACAGTAGCTGATGGATGAGAAAGAAGAAGAGGAAGTAACTCAGTAGAAGGTATAGGGGAAACAGAAGGAGGAGAGCCCAAGAGAGAAGATGGAGAAGACTGAGAAGTACCAGGAGAAGAAGAGATAGGAAACCAATGACTAGGATCAGGAGGAATATATGGAGAAGAAGAAAAGGATGTAGCATAAGGAAAGGTTGTTTCATCAAAGATAACTTGTCTAGATGAATAAATTCTATTGGTTTGAGGATCAAGGCACAAATAACCTTTGTAATCAAAAGGATAACCAAGGAACACACACTGAGTAGTCTTAGACTCAAGTTTATGATTAGAATAAGGTTTAAGCAAAGGATAACAAGCACAACCAAATATTTTGAGAGCTGAATAATCAGGAAGTGTGTTGTGCAGAAGCTCATAAGGAGATTTGTTGGCTGTGTTTTTGCTAGGCATTCTATTAATCAAATAAGTAGCAGCAGCAAAGGCATGAAACCAAAACTCATATGGCAAAGAAGCTCTGGCTAATAAAGTAAGAGTAGTTTCAGTGATGTGACGATGTTTCCTCTCAGCAATGCCATTTTGCTGAGGAGTGTAAGGACATGACTTGGTATGATAAATGCCATGGGCACCAAGATAATCAAGAAAAGAAGAACTAAGATATTCACCACCTCCATCAGAATGAAAAACCTTAATGCAATGAGATAGTTGTTTTTCCACAAAGGGTTTAAACTTAGTAAACACAGAATAAACATCAGACTTAAGAACCAAAGGAAAAATCCAAGTAAACCTGCTATAGCTATCAATAAAGGAAATGTAGTATTTAAAACCATGGAAAGATACATGAGGAGAGGGGCCCCAGACATCACTATGAATAGTATCAAGAGGGGTTACAGATCTGGATTTAGAAATAGAAAATGGTAACTTGGCCATTTTGCCATACAAACAGTATTCACAAACATAAGCAGGCCTAGAAGACTGAGGTTGTGGTAACTTGGAAGTAGATAGAATCTGATGTAAGACTGAATTTGCAGGATGTCCTAAGCGATCATGCTAAGTGTGATGAGAAATTTTAGATCCAAGGTAAGCAAAAGGAGAGATAGAAGAGTGGCTGAGTGCATGAATGGGATATAGACCATTATTACTCTTGCCTTGGTAGAGAATTTGCCCTATGGCTTTGTCCTGAATAGAAAAAGAGTTAGAATCAAACAAGAATTGACAATTGTTATTAGTGCAAAATTGTTGATTGATAATAAATTGAATGCAATAGAAGGTACGCGAAGAATATTAGTGAGTTTGAAAGAATAAGGAGTATGAAGAAAGGTATGACCTATATGTGTAATAGGTAGTTCATGACCATTGCTAATAAAAACTTTGTCTTCTCTAAAATAAGGAGAGAAAAGAGAAAGACCCTCAAGTCTCGAGGTTAGGTGATGCGAAGTACCAATATTAGTAAGCCAGTAGCTAGGAGTGGAGTGACCAGTGGATGCAGTCAGGGCAGAATACTAAGAAGAAGCAGCAGAAAAGAGTGGCTGTTGATTGTTACTGGAAGAATATTCAGAAGAAGCAACCATAGCATTGAAAGGTGGAGAAAACGAAGACTGAGCTTGATAGGCACTGTTCATACGATGATAACAATTAACAACACTATAACCAAACTTTCCACAGATCTGGCAATAAATCTGAGGCTTCTGTGAGAAGGAGTTAGATCTAAACTGTTGAGAATGAGATCTGTTACCAAAATTGTTTCTGCCTCCTTGATGAGATCCATGACCTCTGTAACCAGAAAATCCTCAGCTTGAACCAGAATCGGGACGAGGAAAGTTAGGATCATAGACTTTACCTTGTGAAGCAGCCATAGCTGAGGGATTAAAAGAATTTGAAAATGATTTAGAAGATGCTAAAACAGAAATTTCTTCTGCCTTTAGCAGAGAATGAAGATCCTCAAGAGAAAGAGGCTGAGATCTAGTTCGAATTGCTGTTCGAAAAGCACTATATTCAGGTGTTATACCATTGAGTGTATACAATAGTATATCTTCATCTTCAATTATAACTGATACTGCATGAAGTTTATCTCTAGCTTCTTTGATTTTCTGCAAGTAGACATCAATAGAATCTGATCCTTTGGTAATAGTTTGAAGTAGAGATTTAAGTTGCAGAATATTTGCTCTGGATTGAGAGGAAAATCTTCTTTCTAGTGCAAGCCAAACATCCTGAGATGTAGTATAGCCAACAACATGTGCAATGGCAGAGGAAGAAAGTGTGGCATTAACAAGAGTCATAAGAGCTTGATCTTGAACAATCCACTATTGATACTGTGGATTAATCTCTATAGTGACAACTCCAGCTTCATCAAGTACATATTTGGATGGATAAGGAAATGATCCATCAAGAAAACCAAATAAAGAATGAGCTCTTAACAGAGCTGAGATCTAAAATTTCCAAGAAACTTAATTGGAAGAATCAAGTTGAAGAGAAATAAGATTGCAGATATTAGACAGCAAGTATATAGGTGAATGTGATGAAAAGGAAACTGTAGTTGAAGGTATAGATGAACAGGTAGAAGATGAAGTTGAATTAGTAGAAGCTGTGTTTGCCATTTGATCAGACGTTTGTCTTTGAAGATGGCTCTGATACCATGATAGAATCCATAGAAAGCTTGAAGAAGAAGATAGATGTACACAGAGAAATTAAGAGAAACAAAGATTTCTTTTCATACATTCTCTGTTGCAGTGTACAAGTATTTATAACCAAAACTTAGTTACAATGCCAGCTAGAATTTAACTAACTAACAGACAGACTTGTAGGTTAGTTGGTGCAACAATAGAATTGCATCCCTTTACATGACAGTAGCTGATATATGAGAATTGCTTGTGTGTAGTGCTGGTATTGTATAATACAGACCAGCTTTTTTTAATTTGTAGTATCCATTTTATTCTATTTTAAGTTCATTGTTATTTTGTGTTTGTTTATGTGATATCGATGTGAATTTAGAATTAAAATTATATATAATTATGCTAATTTCTCCGACAGTCACTGCTAACCCCCTTTCTATGAGTGCAAAAGTGCATTTCTAATAATGCCTTAACTTCCAACATTTTTGACTCCAGTCATTGTTTCATGTCATTATATTAAACTCATTTTGACCTGATCTATCTACTGTTGCTGAGTAAGTTTAAAGGTTGCATGCGGGTTGAAAGAAAAATATGAATAGAATGAATAGGAGATGTTGTGCCTCATTAAATAAAAAAGGACTAAGTAGACAAATTTTTGCATTTTCATTTGGTGACCTAAAATTTTTGATATAAGGCGCTTTTGATCGTAAGATAATGAATTTAATGATTTTTTGCAGCTGGCAAAAAATGTTTTTGGTGCTTCAAAAGTCGCAGCTACTGCTAGCACAGGAAAATTGGAGTTGCTGAAGAGCTTGGGTGTTGACTTGGCTATTGACTACACTAAAGAGAACTTTGAAGACCTACCTGAGAAATTTGATGTGGTGTATGATGCAGTTGGTAAGATTTGCTATCTGGACATGAGATAGTACTAGTGTTTTTCAATTCACAACCCTTTTGTCTTGAAATTTCTTTGCTTTGCAATGGCACATCAAAATTTATCACCCAAAATCAATGTGTGGCCTTATTTTGCAACTAATTTTTAAGTGTCATATTCTGATATTCTATGGTAGTTTAGAAATTAGCACGACTGTTTCCAAATCGTGATATGATTTAACCAGTTATAGGAAATTGAGACTTGGTAGCAAATGTTGATTGAAGCCATTAGTATTCTTCTATCTCCCATGGAAGTACACAATGGGATGTAGAGAGAGTCAGATACCACACATGTGTAGAAGCTGTTTTTATGACTGAAGCCCGAAATTGTTTTCACATGAACCTTATAGAATATGTCCTGCAGAACCAAAATATAGTATCCAGCTAATGATCTTTGAGACACCACCTTTAATCCTCATAAGCATTTGTTATATTTAGATCACGGAGTCAGATTTGTCCGGGCTATGGATTGCCACCCTCCTTTGTTCTTATCAAAAGGAATTCCATTGCACTGCTGCATTTTTCCTGTGACTTATTTTCTGATTCATCATCTATTTGAATATAGGTTAATATATCATTTTTCTTTCCTCAATAACAGGGCAGTGTGATAGGGCAGTGAAGGCAATTAAGGAAGGGGGCAGTGTAGTGGTCCTAACCGGTGCAGTGACACCTCCTGGTTTCAGATTTGTAGTCACTTCCAGTGGAGCTGTCTTGGAGAAACTAAACCCATATTTGGAAAGTGGGAAGGTGAAACCAGTGGTCGACTCCAAAGGGCCATTCCCGTTTTCCAATGTTGTTGAAGCTTTCTCCTACCTTGAAACCAACCGAGCTACAGGAAAGGTAGTCATACATCCAATTCCATGAGAGTAAACATAAGAAAACTAGATTATTTCAGTTACATACTGGAGGGTTTTCTATAATTAGGTATATAGCACGAGCGTTGTTTGATGTATAAACTATACTTGCATTAAATCCGTGCAGTGCATGGGATTTGCTTTCTTTCTCTAGCAACTACAAAGACAGCGAATAAGATTTAAAGATCTACGATTGAGCCATATTTGGACAAACAATAGGTTGGTAGCAGCCATTGAAAAGAATTTGTAAAGGTTAGTTGTCTCAAGTAATAAGTAATTCCTTTCTAATACAGAAGTTTGCTTGATTTCCTGATGAAAATCCTTACGGAACATTCAAGAAATTATGCGTCAACTGGGAAAGGGACATCATAATCTGATGTTGCTCTACAATGGCCTTTTGTTTAACCATGTATTTATTATATGCATGAACTCTCAACATAAAAATCCATCATTTTACTTATTAGAATATACAATGTCAAACAAGTTGGTTCAAAGATGAAGAAGATAAACATAAAATATATTTCACACGCCAGAAACATTTATTTTCATCAAATTGTCGCCATAATGACTTGTACAGCAAGCGCTTTGAGGAAAAGTTCCGATGAAAGAAGGCAGCTACTTGCAAAATGCAGGTGCTCATACAGATACAGAGGGTGAAAGGCCAAAGTCAAGACTCCAAAGCTCAAAAGATCCTTTGACAAAATCATAGTGTCCACCCTTCAAAGATAGGGTTTTTTTCGCCACAGCCTCTCTCACAAATGGATAAGTTAACAGGTTTCCCAGTGATATATTTACAGCCTCCTGCAATATTTCCATGAAGAAGCCATTTAACATCATAATACTGCAGCTGGGCAGTCATTATGAAGAAAACTTTCTACGAGATACTTCAAAGATCTAAAATATACGCATCTGATTGATATTATCGTAAAAAATGGAGTAAATTGGTTGATACATACCTTCTCCAAGTAGGTACACTGTTCTGTTACATTCAAATTGCCGCATTCTGCTTTCACCTTGGCCTTGGCGGGCAATCCGATTTTGACCCAATTTTCTATAAAATCACTGGCAGACCAACAGGCAAAATTTCCACTGTTAGTCTATTATTGATCTTGTCTTCCACTATTTTTAATTGTAATACGTCAGTAAAAAAAAATCAAAGAGGAATCATTGAGAACAATCGTTCTAATCCTTATATGATAGTCCGTGGCATACAAAATAATTTGACTAGAGTGTTTTCAATCTTTTGATACCCAGAAGAGGCTATACCCCTCTTGTAAACTTTGGGCATGTTTGGTTGCCGAATTAGAAATTGATGAATTCGATAAAGTAATTCAGTCTATTACAATACGGAAGGACAAAAAACTAGATTAAATAAAGTATTAGAATAATATGTAATTTTATCCAGTGTTTGACAATATACAACATAAGCATTGGATAATAGTTATTTAATCAAATTGGTTGTTTGATTAGAAAATTATTTCATCGTATTAATGTTGAATTAACAAAAATACCATCAATCAGTGTTTGTTACATTGATAACAACTTAATTTTATCAGTTAGGGGGGTTATAATAGTAAATGTGTAGAATAATATGTGTTAAGTTGTATTATAATATCACCTCTTTGGTGGTATTAAAATATCTCCATAATACAGGTCTATCGTATAAAAAATATACGATAAGTATACGATTAATATACATTTTTAAAATTAATGCGATATCAAATTTGCTTACCAAACAAAGTATTATGCCTGATTAAATAAAAAATAGTACAATCCAATATTTAATCATCTATTAATACATCTACCAAACGAGTCATTTATGTTTATGATTGGAATGGATGCTTAGCACACCAGAAAAAGTTATACATAGAATATTAAAAAAATAGGGTTAATAGCATTTTTTAACCCTAAAATATGAATTTTTTTTTTCAGTTTAGTCTTGTATCAATTTTGTCTATTTTATCTCTTAAATATTCAATTCATGTTATTTTGATCTTTAATCAGACAACAACTCAAGTTTGGACTAGATTCTACCAGATTCGAATTAGAATTTAAAAGTTTGATTTGATAATTCGACGAATTTTATTTTTGTAGTTCATACTTGAATCCGTGAACAATCCGATCCGAAAAACTTAATTATTTAAATTTTAACAAATTATACATAAATTTTAACTAAATTTATTTTAATAATCACTTAATTTATTTACTATATATATAAAAATATATAAATAATTTGGATCAAATTATAATCGGATCAGATATAAGAATCCTAAAACTTAGCAATAAACTTTGAAATTGGTTATTTAAAGAAGACTAACCTAGCAGTGGTCCCATCGTCTGGGATAGACATGAGTCCCTTTATTCCTCCACAACAGCTGTGCCCAATGATCACAATATTCTCCACCTACAGCATATCCTCTTTTAAACTCCAATCCAACCAAAAAGGGAACAAAGGGGGTTTAAAAGAAGAAAAAAAAACAGAAAAGATATTCAAAACTCTTCGATTATTGCATTCCGATGTAATGGGGAGGTATGTTACTTTATTTGCATGCAAGATGCAAAAGAACTACTCATCTCAAATCATTGGCTCTGACTTTAAATTATTGATCACAAATTGTTTTTTCATGTATAATTAAAAAAAAATGGTTAATTGTACTGAAGATTCTTAAAATATGTAATTTCTTTTATTTTGGTTCTGAAATTATTGAATATATATTTATGTGGTCCCTCAAATAGATAACGTATAAATTATTAACTTTTTTTAATCATAAACTTATAACGTGATATTGAAATTTGGGCAAAAAAATTATTAGGGTAACTCTTGACTAAAATTTGGAGTAGTTCTTGACCAAAAACGTATCACTTGAGTAGTTTTTAACCAAAATTTTGATAGCTCATAACCAAAAATGTGTAAATTGGATAATTTTTTGATCAAAATTTAGGTAGATATTTAGTCAAGAACTACCTAAATTATTTTTTGCCCATATTAGGTATCAAATGTTAATTTATGACCAAAATCAGTAATAATTTGACTGTTGCCCGTTTAAGAGATCACATAAAAAATATTCAATATTTCAGAGACTAAAATAATATAATTAAAATATTATAAATCAAAATAAAACGAATCTTATACTTTAGGAATCTAATAAGGCAATTAACCCTAAAAAGAACAAAAGGCATCTCTTTTGGGTTTTGACGGGCATATGCCCCCAAGGAAATATGAAAATCAACAGAGAAGCTTGTGGGGCAAAGCTTAGAGGATCGGCCCTCGTCATGTTACCCTCCACCCACCACGAAGTGGGCAACACCAAGGTACTATCTTTATCAAGAAACCGACTAAACATGAACGAATAAAGTTGGGTACAAAAAGAAGGGCTATTATTTTACCTTCAGATGTAATACTGCATATTCAATGGCAGCCCCCACACCAGAATATTTTTTCTGCAGCAGGTACACAAATAAGTCAAATAAACACACTGTTACTTGGTATGAGACTATCAAACATAGAGGCATTGTTGATTGACAGGTTAGTTAAGAGGCTGGCTTTAAAGGGCATTTGGATGCTTTATGAAAATTACAGTATTTGCATTCCTTTTTTCTCTCCAATATGAACGTTCAAAAACAATTGAAAGATTTCACAAAATTGAATGATTTCATTTCTGTGACCAGCTCAACTTTGAAAAGATAACGCCTTGTTTGGTTTGAATTCCAAAAACTGTTTCTCTGTTTTCGGAAACAGTTTTCAGAAAAAAAGTTGTTTGACCAATTTTTTTTACTTTTGTTTTTTGAAAATTGAGAAAAAAAGTTGAGTAGATTTAGAGAACAAATTAAGATTCTTTTGTGTATTTTTAGAAATAAACTTTTTGAGAATTTAGAAACACCACCATTACGATATTTTAGTTTTAATTGTTTTCTGAGTTACTGTAGAAACAAGTTTTATTGTTTTCTATTTGTAGAACTGTTTTTTAGAATCATATAATCAAGCAAACACCATGAAAAAAAAACACTTTTTTAAAACACAAACCAAACAAGACCAAAAATGAGTTAGTGAAGGTTTGGTTGTAGAACCTGGTCATATGGAGGGACCATACTGGCAATGTTTCGGACTATAAAGGCTTCACCTGGCTGGAAATTGAGGATATGCGATGGACAAACTCGAGAGTCTGAGCAGGCAAATACCAAAAACTGAAGAAAAAAAAAAAGAAGCAGCACAAGCAATGAATATTATCAGAGCAGGCAAAAGCCAAAAACCGCATAAAATTAGCTACAAGCGACAAGTATAAACTTATGTCAATAATAAGATGCTTTGAAAAGCCTCTCTCTTTCCATCAATTAAACCATGCACCATATAGCATTAAAACTTTGTTTCTTATCCACCATGTTCCACTTCAAGCCATTTTTCATCTAATTCTAAAACAGTTCCTCATCTGGTGTAATCCCAAGAATATTATCGCCTGATCCAAAGAAAGAGAAACCAAGCCTCACTCTTAAACTTTAATGTTTGTTAGTTTTTATATCCTAGTTATATTTCTGGCAATGAACTCATACTGATCCCATCTGACAGAAACCTAGCTAGTGACAGAAGGTGGAGCATTTTCTAGAAAAGTAGGTCACCAAACTCTTTTAAGTTACAAAATTATGAAGAAATATCCACTATGAAAGAAATTAGCAACCAGAACTGACGATTGTTTACACCTAATCTTTGATTGGGAGTAGATTCATTCACAAAATATTCAAAATGACAATTGTGCGTGCAAGATCCTGCACAATATAAAAAACGAGAACAGATCTCTCCCTTGGTGAACTTCGAGTGAGCCGGTTGAGTGACCGACCACGCCGCTTGGAACAGCCTGCGAGGTCCGGTGGTAACCTGGAACGGCAATGGGAGACCCTGGGTGAGCGGGAGAACGATCCAGTAAGGCTGAAAGAGGATCCTGGAACAAAGAAGAACAAGTTAGAAGGGCGCCGGAGTGTTTTCCGGCGTATCCCCTCCGACGGTCTAGTCAGTCTTTGAGTGAGAGAGAGGAAGGAGAAAACACTGAGAAGGATATATTGTAGTAGAAAGTTTGTGATTGCATACCCGTCTTGCCTTTTGCAAGGAGTATTTATACCTTAAAAGCTCATGATTGCTGTCAGTGTGGTCAGTAGGTGATCATTAGGTGCAGGTTGCGTGTGCATTGATTCTGATGAGGAATGTCTTCTCTAATTGACTGCTCGGGGTCCCGAGCAATTAATGTCGAGTCGTCGGGATGCCGACGGTACAATATGCTCCTCTCGGGGAGGATGCAATAAATGCT